TCTCCCCCCCCCCCTCCACTGGCCTGGGGGTTGGGGGGGGGGCCAAGGCCAGGCACAGTTCTCTAAACCCCTTGTGGCTTTCCCTGATGCCAGGAATCCACGAGGGGGTGACCTAGAGACCAGCTCCTGGGAGGAGGAGGCCTGGATGGGGCAGAGTTGGGCTCCCAGCGGGATGGCAGCACTGGCTCAGGGCAGGATGCATTTCCAATCCACAAGCAGACTCCGGTCTGACAAGTTCTTCACGAAGATGATTTTTTAAAAATATGGGCTGTTTCAGAAAACCCAGGCCAGTGTGGAGCCTCAGTGTGGAGTACTCAGAAGTTTCTTAGAGTCCGCAGACATGAGGGGTGAGAGGTACCCGGCCCTGCGGTGGCATCTGGCCCTACTCTACCCAACCTTCAAGTGAGCCAAGAGTTTGTGCACTGCCCAGTCCTCCCTGCACCGATAGAGGGGCGCTGGAAGCAGAAGGACCTCAAGTTTAAGGACACTTCCGGCTACACAGACAGTCCGGGCGGGGGGAGGGGGGGGTAGAGCACAGGTGCTGGTGACTCATGTCTGTAATCCTAACAACTCAGGAGGCTAAGAGCTGAGGATCATAGTTTGATATCAGCTTAGGAAAGAAAATCCATGAGACTCTTAGTTTCAGATAACCACTGAAAAGCTAGGAGTGGAGCTGGGGCTCAAGTGGTAGAGCATTAGCCTTAAATCACACCACACACACACACACACACACACACACAGAACAAAACAAAAAACAAAAAAGCTGGAAGTAGAGCTGTGGTTCAAGTGGTAGAACACTAACCTTGAGCAAAAAGTAAAAATACAAAATGCTCTAGGGGCTGGGAAGGTGGCTCAGTGATAGAGCGCTTGCCTTGCATGCATGAGGCCCTGGGTTCCATTCCTCAGCACCACATAAGCAAAAAGAAAAAAAAGCCGGAAGTGGCGCTGTGGCTCAAGTGGTAGAGCGCTAGCCTTGAGCTGAAGAGCTGAGGGACAACACTCTGGCCCAGAGTTCAAGCCCCATGACCAACCAAAAATGAAAAGAAAGAAGGAAGGAAGGAAGGAAAGAAGGAAGGAAAGAAGGAAGGAAAGAAGGAAGGAAGGGAGTTGAACCAGGGAACATCAGATACAATAGGACATGGTGTATCTTTTTTTTCTGATATATCAGCACATCTGACATCTGGATGAATTCTCTAATTGCTGAAGCATTGGAATGGAGTGTCACTTGGGGGGGGGGGTAAGGCACTGACACTGAGGGTGTGCGTCTGGGCATGGTGGGGGAGTCAGGAGGATGGGTGAGTTCAAGGGCATCCTAGAATATATAACAAGACCTTATCTCAAAAACAAAAACCAACTTACAACAATTCATGTTGCAATTGATGATGGTTGTTGGTTTTTTTGGCCAGTCCTGGGGCTTGAACTCAGGGTCTGGGCGCTGAGCCTCTTTTGAGCAAGGCTAGCACTCTACCACTTAGCCATAGCACCACTTCCCGTTTTCTGGTGGTTTATTGGAGATAAGAGTCTTCACGGGGGCTGGGAAGGTGGCTCAGTGGTAGAGCGCTTGCCTTGCATGCTCGAGGCCCTGGGTTCGATTCCTCAGCACCATATAAGAAAAAAGAAAAAAGCCGGAATTGGTGCTGTGGCTCAAGTAGTAGAGCGCTAGCCTTGAGCTGAAGAGCTGAGGGACAGCACCCAGGCCCAGAGTTCAGGCCCCACGACTGGACCCAAAAAAAAAAAAAAAGTCTTCACGGTCTTTCCTGTCTGGGCTGGCTTTGAACTGTGATCCTCAGCTCTCAGCTTCCTAAGTAGCTAGGATTACAGGCCTCAAGCCCTGAGCTTCTTTTACTCAAGGCTAGCACTCTACCACTTGAGCCACAGCACCACTTCTGGCTTTTTCTGTGTATGTGGTACTGAGGAATCAAACCCAGGGCTTCATGCATGCTAGGCAAGCACTCTACCACTAAGCCACCTTCCCAGCCTGCAATTGATGTTTGCAAATCAGGGCAATCATTGGTGGTAGGTACAGAATGGGAGCATACATAGGTGTGGTCAGGGAGGGCTACTTGGAGGAGATGGGTCTGAAAGGATGAACAGGAGTTGGCCAGGAAAGAGGGCACAGAGAAGAACTTCCAGGCTCAGGGAATAGCAGAGGTGAAGGCATTTCAGAGGCAGGGGAGGATAGCAAGGCAAGCTTGAGAGAGGAGCAGGGCTCAAATCCTGACTTGCAGTTTAAGGAGACTTTTCCTAATCTGCCTTCAGCAGCAGGGTCTGAGGGCCCAGAACCCCCTCAGCATCCCCCACTCTCACAAGCCCCAGGAGGCCTAAGGAGCTTCTACTAAGGGCTAAGTAACTCCATCAGATCTAGATTTGAGAACAGTATCTCTGGGCCAGAACATGCATCAAGGCAGCAACCCTGGGGGTTCTGAAATGTAGATAGGTCAAAGAGTTTCTTGGGCTAGGATCAGATGGCTCACATCTGTGATCCTAGGAGGCTGAGACCTGAGGATCACAGTTTGAAGCCAGCCCAGGCAGTTTCCATGAGACTTATATCTCCAATTACCCATGAGAAACCCTGAAGAGGAGCCTGTGGCTCAAAGTGGTAACACACTAGCCTTGAACAGAACAGCTCAGGGAAAGCAACCAGTTCAAGCCACAGGATTGGCACAGAGAGAGAGAGACAGACAGACAGACAGACAGACAGAGGAAGAAGAAGGAGGAGGAGGAGGAGGAAGAAGAGAAGAAGAAGAAGAAGAAGAAGAAGAAGAAGAAGAAGAAGAAGAAGAAGAAGAAGAAGAAGAAGAAGAAGAAGAAGAAGAAGAAGAAGAAGCAGGAGGGAGGAAGAAGAGGAGGAGGAGGAAGAGAAGGTGGTAGAGGAAAGAAGTTTCTTAGCAAGGAATAGTGGCTCATATCTATAATCCCAGCTACTCAGAAGGCAGAAATCAGAAAGATTGTGTTTTTAGATCAACTGAGGCAAAAAATGAAATTTCCCCCATCTCAACTAACAAGTGGGGTATGGTGGTTTAAGTCTGTAATCTCAGCTATTCTTGAAGCACAGGTAAAAGAATTTGGTGAGTGTATCCTGGGACAAAAAAGTGAGACCTTATCTGAAAAAAACAAAACAAAAACTAAAGTTAGGGTTGGAGGTATGGCTCAAGTGGGACAGCACTTGCTTGACAAGTAGAGGCCCTGAGTTCCAACACCAGTACTACAAAACAAAGCACTTTGGGGAGTTTGTAGTGATAAGGTAGGGAGGCATCAGAAAAAAGGAAAGAAAGTCAAGTTGTGACCTGGGCATCTGGTCAGGGGCATTATCCACGGAGAAGAGCCCTGGCCATTTCTGGAGTGTCTTCATGTCTCTACTGATCTGAGGTGGTCTAGGATCCTTGCTGTGAAAAAGGGTTCTGGTTAGCCCAGTGCCAGTGGCTCATGCCTGTCATCTTAGCTACTCAGGAAGCTGAGATCTGAGGATCTTGGGTCAAAGCCAGCCTGGGCAGGAAAGTTTGGGAAACTTTTATCTCCGATAAACCACCAGAAAACCGGATGTGGCGCTGTGGCTCAAGTGGTAGAGCTCTCACCTTGATCTAAAGAGCTGAGGGACAGCTCCTAGGCCCAGAGTTCAAGCCCCACAACCAACAACAATAACAGCAACAACAAAAAAAGGGTCCTGGTTACTGGAAAGGACCTGTTGAGATGGGGGAGCTGCCTGAAAATACACAGTGTGAGTAGGCTCTCAGCAGGGTGAGCTCCCCTTGCTTGGCGATATGGATTTCCCTATGTCCTCCTGCAAGAGGTCAGGAGGGGTTTGATCTTTGTGAAATCCTCATGATCACTGCTGGATTGGTTGGAGCTGTGGAAGGATGCTGGGTGGTGTGCCAGCCAGTTACGCAGGTTTACAAGGTTGTTTTTTGTTGGTCATGAGGCTTGAACTCAGGGCCTGGGTGCTGTTCCTAAGCTCTTTCACTGCTCCAGGCGAGCGCTCTATCACTTTGAGCCACAGCGCCACTTCCGGTTTTCTGGTAATTAATTGGAGAGTTTCATGGACTTTCTTGCCCAGGCTGGCTTTGAACCGTGATCCTCAGATCTCAGCCTCCTGAGTAGTTAGGCTGGCTCTTCACAAGAGTTCCTGCAGATCTGGGACCAAGATTAGGGCGGGAACAGGAGGGCTGGGGCTGGGGGCTGGGGGCTGGGGCTGGGGTACCCCTGAGTGTGGCCAGAATGAGGTTTTTTTGGTAACCTGTTAACATTCTGTGTTTGGAGTTGGGGATGCAAAATTCCGGGTGCTGGGTCTAGGATCCCTGATCCCAAGTTCAGGGTTCAGGGTCCCAACAGGGGTCTGGGCCTGGGATTGGAATCACGATGGAATGAATGGGTGAAAGCCGAGTCCGGAGCTTTGGGTCCACGGAGATGCGGAGTCGGGAGATGTGGGTCAGGATTGTAACCCAGGCCTGGGAGCGATGTCGGGGTCGGCGTGCTGAGCCGGGGTGCCGGCGCCGTCACAGCCTGAGCCGGGGAACCGGGCCGGGGCCGGGGGGCGCGGCTGCGTCGGGGCGCGGACCGCAGCGTCCAAGGTCGGGTCTTGAGGGCGTTCTGGGGCCGGGGGCGGCGGGCGGCGTGCGGGGTCCTGGTCGGTCCCGGTGCGGAGTCGGCGGTGACGTCCGGAGATGTGGCCCGAGGGCGCGGGGTTCGGACCCGGGGTCCCGGGCGGCTCCGCCTCCAGGGGGCGCCGTCGGCCGCCCGCCCGCCGCCCGCCCGCCCGGCCCCTCGGCGGCTCGCTGGCGCTGTGCGCGGCAGGCGGGGCCGGAGGCGGCGGCGGCGGCGGCGGCTCCGGGGCGCGGGCGGCGGCGGCGGCGCCCGGACTGCAGTCCCGGCGGGAGCGGAGCGCGGAGCCGGCCCGGGCCCGAGCCGGCGCCATGGAGCGGCGCCGCCTGTGAGCGGCGGCGAGCGGAGCCGCGGGGCGCCGAGCGGGGCCGGGCGGGGCCGGGCGGGCGCCGAGGCCGAGGAGCCGCGCGGGCCGCGCCGAGCGCCAGCGGGAGCGGAGCGGAGCCTCCGGCGGCGGCGGGAGAAGCAGCGCCGCCGCCAAGATGGCCGACCTGGAGGCGGTGCTGGCCGACGTGAGCTACCTGATGGCCATGGAGAAGAGCAAGGCCACGCCGGCCGCGCGCGCCAGCAAGAAGATCCTGCTGCCCGAGCCCAGGTGAGCCGCCGGGCCGCGACCCCGGCCCGCCCCGCCCCGCCGCGCCCCCGGGCCCCCCGGCGCCGCGCGCCCCCCGCGCGCCCCCCGCGCGCCCCCGGCCCCGGGCAGCTCCCAGCCCCGCGCCCCGACCGCGCTGCCGCTTCCTGTGTCTCGCCGCCGGCCTGGTTCGCTGTCAGCCCCGCGCTGCTGCCCCCTCCCCCCGGGCCTGCCTCCATTGACCCCTCCAGCCCGGCTCCTAGCACCCCTCCGCTGCCCTGCTCCCAGAGCCCCTGTGGGGGTCTCCACGACCCGCGGGCCGCTCGTGTCCGTGCGCCGATGTGTGGAGGCTGTTTTTGTTTGGGGGGTTATTTTTTGAGGGGGGGGAGACAAGTCTTCCGAACTCTTGCCTTCTTCTCTGATGGGGGTCACCGTCCGGGGGTTGGGTTCGGGGGGGGGGCCCCGTGGTGATGGAGACCGTGGTGTACCGGTCCTCCATGCCTGGGGTTGGCTTGCAGGTGGGGACGCGCTTCCTCCGTCCCCGGCGTGCGGTGCCCTCCCCGGGCTGCTGCTGACCAGGGCAAGTCCCTGCACTTCACAGCTGTTGGACCCAGGCTGGGAGGCACTGATGTCATCCGTACCTGGTAGCAAAGTTTTCACTGAACAGGACACGGGTGCCAAAGCGGACAGGACGCTCGCCATGGCTGCAGCTTGCCCTGCGTTTTGTGGTAGATGGAGTGTTTTCCCATTTGGGGGATGCACGGTGGTGTGTGTGTCCCCCCCCCCCCTCGTCCCCCACCGGAGGGGATGGGAAGGTGGTAGGACAGGTATCAGGTCGGGTCCAAGGACCAGGTGTGGAAGCTGATGCCCCAGAAGCTAGTGATCTGGCCACCACATCAAGATCTCCAGCATCTAGTATTAGATTCTAGTTTCTCTGCTGTGGTCCAAGCTGGGGCCTAGATGTCCTGCATCTGGGTGAACAGATGGGGACACGCACTAGCGGTCTTGTGATTTCAAGGTTCATCTCAGCAGTCCTCCTTCGTGCTGGAGAGTTGCCTTGCTGGTGCCCAAGTGGCTGGGGACTGGGCCTGTGCTCACTGCCAGGGTCTTACCATAGGACGTTGCTCAAGTCCCTTCCTGTTTCTGGAACTTGATTTTCACCTCTGTGAAGTTGGATGGTGTGAATTAGGGCTGTGCCTCTGGTGTCCCTGGTCTTGGAAGCAGCAGTGCAGCTGCACGCAGGGCTGCCCTGCCAGCCCGCACCACCCCCACCTCTGTGCCTGCTTACTGGGTTTCAGATTGACTGAATATGAGGCCTGGGAGAAGAAAATGGTCTGTGTTTTGAGAAGACCGTTGACCTCCCCCTCCTTTTTTTTCTAAGACATTTGCAATCAGATTTCTCAAAACAGGAACCAGATTGACTGTCAGCCGGGGCTGCTCAGGGAGCCACAACAGTTAGGACCCAATGAGTTCTGAAATGCCAAGGCCATGAAAGGGGGAAGGGGATTCACGTCCAGGGCAGTGAACAGTTCTTGGTGACTGCAGCCTGGAGACCCTTCTGTGAAGTGTAAGGCGGAGCTTTTTCTAGAACTCTCTGTGTTTGGGTAATCTCTCCCCAGCATGCATCACTCCTGATGGGCCCCGCCTTGGGTCGGCTCTTCAGGTGTGTTAAAACCCTGAGAAACAAGCTCTTCCTCTTTGTCTGTGCCCTTTTCTTCCTTGGTGGTGGTGGTGATGTGATAGGAGTAAGAATGGAAATTATAATAATTTATTATTTATTTTGACATCTGTCATCTCAGTTGATCCCCAAACCAAACTTGTGAGATTGCCAAAGCCTTGCCTCAAGTGTAGTAGTTGCTTAAGAATACCAGGGCTGTGTGATGTCTTATCTCATCCTGAGTCGAAACCAGGTGGCTGTGGGTTTTAGGGGAAGGGCAGGCAGCACCGGCTCTCATACAGGGTCACCATCTGCAGCATGGTATTGAGCAAGTTGCTGAGATCTGTTGAGGCCAAGAGCCTCTAACACTGAACATGATCTGCGCAGACCTGAGGCTCGCAGGCCTCCTGGGCTGGAGAGCAGGCGTGTGTGCTGCATGCCCTTGGCACAGGTGCCTTCTGCCCGTCATTATGATTGTGCCTCACTTCTGCCCAGGACTTCCCAAGTCCCCTTTCCTCCACTGAGTCCTCACAGCCGTGGCAAGCAGGCCCGGCAGGCCAAGGCCTTGAGAGCCAGAGTGAGACTTTCCTGGTCACAGAGGAGCCCTGCCTGGGGTTGGAGGTTGTTTCTTTTTTCTTTTCTTTTTTTTGCCAGTCCTGGGGCTTGAACTCAGGGCCTGGGTGCTGTCCCTGAGCTTCTTTTGCTCAAGGCTAGCACTCCACCACTTGAGCCACGGAGCCACTTCTGGTTTTTGTCTGTGTATGTGGTACTGAGGAATCGAACTGAGGACTTCATGCATGCTAGGCAAGCACTCTACCACTGAGCCACATTCTGGAAGTTGTTCCTTCAATTAGGCCAGTGCGATTCCCTACTGCATGTTGTCTCTATCCTCCTCACCCTGTACACCTCTGCCCTTGTCCACAGTTTGTGGGATGGGCAGCTGACACCCCTTGTCTGGGTTGCCGGGGGTAGGTGGATGGGGTGGGCTGAACAGCAGGGCAGCCCTTGGGGTCATCTACTGTCAGAGTTTAGCCCCCTCCCTCCTGAGGGCTGAAGTGGAGAACCAGCACGGCCAGTGCAAGGAAAAGAGTAAAGCTGCACACTGGTCCCTCCCGCTGGAACCCCAGCTACTCAGGAGGCTGACATCTGAGGATTAGGTTAGAAGCCAGCGCAGGCAGGAGGCTCGGTGGAGCTGTGGCTCAAGTGGTAGAGCACTTGCCTTGAGCAAGAAAGCTCAGGGATGGCATCCAGGTCCTGAGTTCAAGTCCCAGGACTGGCATGAAAAAGAAGGAGAAGAGGAGTCAGCTCCATGTCAGCTACAGTCACAAGGTCAGGGTCAGGCAGAGAGGCCGCCTTGGTCACCATGACAGTGCCTTCAGGAGTTGTTCCACCTTGGGGTGGTCCATCTCGTCCGCCTCTCCGTGGCTGGTACCCAGGCTTGTGGCTTGGCCAGAGCTCTGCTAGCATCACAGCTCCAGTTTCCCAGGGCTGGGGAACAGGAGCAGTTGGGCATCATGCCACTGTGACTTGGCACAGGGCCTCCCCTTCTGTCACCCATAGAATTTGAGGAAACAGACCCATTCCCCGACTTCTCACAGGAGGAGGCAGCCGTGCGCGGCTGGAGACCTGGCCCCCGTGTCTGCTGCGCCAGTTCACAGGGGACTCAGGCAGGTCCCTTCCTCTGACCTGGCCTGCCTCGGTGGAGCGGAGGGGGCTGTTCCCTCCCCAGGAGCTCCCGGTGCCCCTCTGGCTGGAAGGGTCTGTGGTCTGGGCCTCCTGGGGAGGAAGTGCAGTCTCTGTTTCCCGGCAGCAGTCTCAGTCTTATAATTATCGTCATTTGCTTAATATGACCACGGAGGCCTCATGTAATTAATCTCTAGGCTCCGGGTTGCAGAGCCCTGTCTGGGCGGTCTCAGGAGGTTCCCCTGCCCTCCCTGGTGACAGTGGCAGCCCCAGGTGCCCCATGCCGGAGCCGAGTGCCTCTTGCAGCCTCTCAGCCCCTTGGCTATTTCCTGGTCCCTCCCCCACTGCAGGCTTCCTCCTGCTGCCCTCCTCTCGCTGGCTTCCCGCTCTCTCCTAGACCCTGCCACTCTTCCTCTGCTTGCTGCTGCTTCTTCATTCCTGATAGCTCTCCCCCCCCCCCCCCCCCAGGACTTCCTGCCTCCATCCGTGGGGGAGGGGCTGCTTTCGCCCTTCTTCCTCCCTTCACTTCTCCATCCCCATGCATCCCTCACCCACCACGTTCCACTCCAGCAGCTGCCTTCTCCCCCTGCTGCCCCCCACCCTGCCCCCCAAACCAGAGTATCTCTGGGGTAGTCTCTCTCTCCCTGCAGGCCTTGCAGGCGGCTGCTGCTCCCTGGGAAGAGTTCCCTAGGATGTCTTTTCCCATCTGTCTCCTCTCCAGAGCGAGGGTTTCAGGGGCTTGCCATTAAGTCGCTGGCTCACCCGCCCTTGCTCCTCAGTAAATGGATGTGAAGGGAGCGTGAGCTTTACAGGTCGGGATCCGTGCTCAGGAACCTGGGCTCTGTCAGCCTGGGAATAATGTGTCCTATTAATGCACAATCCATCCCTCGTAGTAAATTTCTGGTGACGTCAGGTGCAGCACGCTGCACTCTGCAGCAGCACCTCCTCCCAGGGCCCAGGTTCAGGGCACGTGAGCCCGGGTCCCGGTAGGTATGGGTGGTTTCCAGCTACCTGCGCACGGCTGTTCCGGAGCAAGCAGCAGGAGCCAGGAGCGTGTGATGGTCTTGGAGGAATACACAGCCCCCACCACACCTGCCCCATTTTCCTCAGCCCAGTCCCCGCTCCCCGCCGACTCCCAAGGTCACTGTTCTCCTCTGGATAGTTACACTTCATGCCATTTCTAGTCTGTTTCAAACGAGATGTTAAAAGTAAGGCATTCGGCTACAGCTTTCTTGTAAAACAGCATCTGGTGTCTGCATTGCTGTTTATTGCAAAGGGCAACACAGATGCCGCAGAAGTGGGTGTTGATGGCGGCGTGGGAGGGGCAGTTCTCACGGGAAGCCAGGGTGGAGGTGGAGGACAGGTCCCACGTGGGAACTGCAGGACCAGGAGCCCTGGAACTCACAAGATGGCAGACAGGTGCGGGGCACCGTGTTGGTGTCATGTGCCTGCTGTTTGATCACGCCACCCAAGTGCCTCTTCCTGCGCGTCCTGCAGAGGAAGCTGGGAGTCTGGGTTTCTGTAGCTGTTGGCCGTGGGCTGTGCGCACAGGGCAGCCAGCGCGCGCTGCGCTTTGCCGTGGCTGTTGGTCTCTCCCATTTGGTAGTGGCCCCATGCTTAGGTCCAAGGACACTGTCAGCCCCAGGGACGGTCATTGGGAAATAATCATAAGAAACCCCAGGAGGGCTTCCTCCTGCTGCTTCCCTCTGTGCCAGCTTCCCCCCCCCCCCGAAATGCCCCAGGGGGGCACCTCAGCTTCAGCTTGTGAACCGTTGCTTACCAAAACCCGGCAGTCCCTAGCAAGGCCACCCCAGACCTGTCCGGCTGGAGGCCAACGGCCTCTGCGCCGGCATGCTCCTTCCTGGACTGCTGCAGCAGCCCACCATTGTTACATGAAGGCTGCCGACAGCCTTTTGTGGCTCTTGGAGGGGACTCCCCCCCTCCCTCCCCAGGGTGGGGTAGATAGGGCAGCAGGGAAGAGGTCAGGCAGAGCCCCCTGAGCCCCTTCCCCAGCACTCCCATGGAGGAGACGAGCATGTCTCTGGGTGGGTTTGGAGGTTTCCTCTGCTAACCAAGGACCATGGGCCCTTCCGGTGCACAGCTGCTGCCCTGAGCTTGTGTGCAAGCCACCGTGAGGACCTAGACAACCTGTGAGGCCACTGAGCCACAGTGCACCCCATGGCACCAGAATGTACTGGAAGTTCTGCCCCACAGTCTGCACCCCCTTCCCGCCTGCTGTCCTGTCACCTCAGTCTCTGCTGAGAGAGGAAGTCGTCCTCCTGCTCCCAGGACCAGGCTGGCCTGCTCTGCAGAGCCCTGCCAGCGCCTCAGCTGCAGGGTGCTGGGAATAGGGGGCGGGCACCTCTCTCCTATGGCTGTGGCCGCCCACCCCAGCGTCAGACACCTCCGTGCCAAGTGCCTTCCATCCTTGGACAGGGCATGTATTACCCTCCCCCAGGGGGTCACTTCCCATGTGGCCTGGGTGAAAGTGTCACTTAACACAGAGCAGTCGCACTTTTCCTCAAAAGCCTGACTTCCACTTAGGTGCCGATGGACAGATATTGATTAATTTGGAATTTAACTTGGAACAGGTGAGGTTACTCCAAGGGCCAGAGATGAGGCATTTCAGCCGCTCAGCCCGGGGCCGGCCGGTGCTCAGCCTTCAGGAGGCCCCTTCCTGTGGGTTCCTGGCAGGTGTGGAGCTCAGACCTGACAAGACTGGTTAACATCGGCTCATGTTCTAGAAGTTGTGGCACAGGCTGCGAGTGAGCTGTGGGGTGTCAGGATAAGGGCTTGGGCAGCGCTGCCCTGGGGCCTGGGAGACGATGGGACCTGGCAGGGGTCCAGGAAGCCTGGTACCTTGGGCGTGTCCCCTGCTACTCCGTCCTCTCAGGCCCCCTAGTCTGCAAGTCAGCGTGGCAACTCAGCATTGCCTTAACACCGTTGATCTGCAAACAAGGAAGCTGGACGTTCAAGTCTGTGACCTCTCGGGGAGCTGGGAGAACCGTGTGGAGCCTGGCCAGCTGCCGAGCCCAGGGGCCTCAGAGGTCTCCCCAAGAGATGGGCGCTCCCGTGCCCTCATGTCTGATGACAGTCAGGCACCTGGTTCTCTCCGATCTAGAGTAGATCATGGGAGTCACGTGTCCCAGGGTGTGGGGTTGTTGACCTGGATTAGGGGCAGAGATGCCACTCTGGGCATGTCACCTCTGCCGACTCTGCCAGAGCCAGGGAGAGGGTGCCAGAAACAAAGGTGACCCAGCCCAGAGGCTGCCTCCACCTCCCATGCCGGCCCGTACTTGCCAAAGCAGGAGCTTCCCTCGTGACGTTTTTCTTACCTGCCGCTCCCTCGGCCACCAGCCCTGTGGGGATAGACAGGAAACCCTAAAATTGCTACTTTGGGGGCCTTCCTTTCAAGGACTCTGCTTAGGCCTGACTTTGTGTTTGGTTGCGGGGGTGGGGGGAGGTTATTTTACTTAAAAAGACATCTTTCTTTTTAGGGAAGAAAATGAAGTGCTGTGGGCCCTGGAAGAATGTCATGGCCATGCCCAGGCGTGGCTTCTGAGGGGAGGGCAGCCTTAAGCCTGGGGTCCTGGTTCCTGCCGTGCCCTGGGCCTGGGGACAGCAGAGCCCTGGGGTCCATGGCTGTCACTGGCAGGGTCTCATAATATACATTTGCTAGAGGCCACCTGTGTGTGTCCGGTCCCCAGCCTCCCTGAGCTCCTTGGTGGCCAGGACCTCTACCAAGCTGGCCTCACTTTGCCAGTTCCCAAGAGGCTAGTCTGGGGTAAGGAGGGCTTCCCAAGACCACTGGGACCGTCTCCCTGCCATGTCATCTGTGTCTTTGTCCACCTGACTAATATCCCATACCTCCCTTCCAACCACCACCATGCAACGGTGACTTTTGTGATATTTTTCCCCCTCACTGCTTTTTTGCATCCCCTTCCATGGAGCAAAGGGTCCCAGAACACAAGAATCCGGTTTAGAAGCAGATTGGCCAGGCTGGGCTTGAGGGGTGTCAGAGGTCGAACTCCCTGGGGTCGCCTTCCAGGTCCCAGGGCTCCACAGCCCTGGGTCTTGGCACCTCCACAAGCCTTAGAGGAACTGCTTGAGGGCCACTCAGGGCTCCAGTCAGCAGTCTGGGCCCAGGCTGTGTCAGTATCATGTGAGCAGCTTCTCAGTGGGACCTGCTGAGTTCCGCCAGTCTTTTTCCCTGTGAGGTTCCTGAGGCTGGGGATGCATATTGTTGGTATAACAGTGTGAGGACCCCAGGAGGGGAGGATGGGCCAGCATGGCCGTGGGGTACATGGCCTTGGAGCCCCTCTTGGTTTGTAGAAAGCAGCCTCACTTTCCCAGAGGGGATTGGCTCTGAGCTGGCAGTGTGGGCATCCTGGGGTCTCTGGGCCCCTGAACCTGGGCTGATGGCTTCTCTTTCTTTTCCTGGCTAGATACAAAGGCGTGGTAGAAGGGGATGACGAGCTGTCGTCAGGGCTCTACTTCCTGTAGGAGACAGCTTTTGGAGTTAGGGAGTTAGGCTTGCTGCCCTGGACACAGCCTAGCTCTGGAGACTCCCTGGCACCCGAGATCCTGCGCTGCCCTGGGCCCATTGCTGTACTCTGCTCTCTGCCCCGTGGGCCTCTTGCTCATCTTTGGACTGCCTGTTTTTACCTGTCCCCACCTGTCCCCACCTGCCCTAGGCTTTGCCATCCTGTTGTACTTTAGGAACCCTGTGAAGTTCCGCCTTCTCCACACAGCCCCTCCCTACCAACGGCAGAGCCTCCCGGGCTACCAGGGCCTGCTCAAGGCCTTGGCACCTGTTCTCAGCTATCTCAGACCTGAGGCTTGCCTGAAGGGGCCAGGCTGGATCCCACAGGTCACACCCAGGGTCTCGTGTGTTCCCAGGCTACAGACCTGGATGGCTCATGCTGTTCCCAGAGGCAGGGCAGGGGGGACAGTGCCAAGCACCAAGAGCCTTGCTGTGCGGCCTTCATCCTCATCAGCTGCAGTCTCTGCATTGGAGGCCTGCTGCTGGCCCTGCCACACTCCGGGGCCTTGTGAGCAGAACAGTCTGGTGTGAGAGCACAGTCTCCAGCCCCATACGCACTTCCCCTGGACAGCTACGTGCTCCCCCAGGAACCCAGCCTCCTGAGTAGCTAGGATTACAGGCGTGAGCCACGGGCACCCCACTTTTTTTTTTTTGTCGGCTGTGGGGCTTGAACTCTGGGCTTGGGCACTGTCCCTGCGCTCCTCAGCTCAAGGCGAGCGCCCTACCGCTTGAGCCACAGTGCCAGGTTTTCTGGTGGTTTTTATTGGAGATAAGAGTCTCACGGACTTTCCTGCCCGGCTGGCTTTGAACCATGATCCTCAAATCTCAGCCTCCTGAGTAGTTACAATTACAGGCGTGAGCCACTGGTGCCTGGCTTTTTTTTTTTTTTTTTAACTATTTTTAAGTTGAGATACAATTCGTATGATATAAAATATAAAATCTATCAAATTTAGATATACAGTTAGCCAGGTTTTTGTTTATCTCTTAATTCCCATACATCCCTATGTGTGGGAAGTAACTCCGTACCCCTTCTTCACCACACTGGTCCCTGGCACCCCCAAATCTGTGCTTTGTTGATTGGCCTTTTCTAGATGGATGGAAGAGGCTAAGGACGGAACCCTACAATCCATGGCCTTTTTGTCTTCTGCAGTAGAGTGCTTTCAAGGCTCATCCATGCTGTAGCATGTGTCAGGGCCTCGCAACTGAGCAGGGCATCAGAATGAACAATCTGCCATTGTGAGAATGTGCCACGTTTTGTTTATCTGTTCATCCACGGATGGTTAAGACCCGGCTGCTGGGATTTGGCTAAGTTCCCAAAGCCAGCACAGCAGCACTGGACCAAACTTGTGCAGGCAGTGGGCCTCAAAGCCAGAGGCTATCTGCTGGCCACTACCTTGGGGGCAAGATACGAGAGTAGGCCCAACAGATGGGGTCACTCCCTGGAAGGAGCCAGGACGTGGAGTTGGAGAGTGCCCTGACTCTGGCTTCTGGACAGGGCAGAGTCTGCAGCCTGGGGACCTTAGGGGCCTCTGCTCACTGTGCTCCTCTGCCGGCAGCATCCGGAGTGTCATGCAGAAGTACCTGGAAGACAGAGGAGAAGTCACCTTTGAGAAGATCTTCTCCCAGAAGCTGGGTGAGTGAACCACAGCTCTGCCAGCCTGGGAACCCCCCAAGGAGGACTCTGAAGTTGGCTTCCTGCCAACATCCCTAACTCCCCCAGCTGACTTGGGCCATGTGCCCCTCTCCCAGGAAGGACCCTCCCCCTCCACTCAGAGTCCTCCAGGTGGCCCCAAGGGCTGCTCTGGGTCAGGCGGTGACCCTTGCGTCCTAGCCCCTGGCTATCAGCCCTGGGAGGCCCCGTGGTGGGGGTGGGGGTGAGGGTGGGGGTGGGGGCCAGCAGTCTTCCCAGGCCGCCAGGGAAGTTCCTCCTTTGGGGTTTTTGTTTTTGAGAGTTGCAGCTTCCCCTTGGCTAAGCCACAGCTGCTCTGGGCCGTTGGTAGAACTGACAGGAAGAGGCGGGGCGTTTCCTGTGGCGCCTGCCTAGCTGTGGTTGGCCCAGCCCCGCCCCCCATGGGCCACTGAGCAACCTGCCTCCTCTGGGCTCCTCCATCCTTCCTCCCCGTGTCTGGAAGTTTCATGCCATCAGCACCCTTCCCCCTCACCCCCACCCCCCGCCCCGACCCAGAGGGCAAGCTTGGGGTATGTTTAGGGAAGCAGCTGCAGCCATGCTCAGTTCTGATTTAGCTTTCCCAGGGCAGGAGCTCAGCTCTGAACTCTGGAGGTGGCCTGGCGCAATCAGGCCTTGGAGGTCAGCTGCAAGAGTTGGAGTGATGGGGAGCATACAGCTTGGGTTCCAGGCTTGGGCTGTGGCAAACTGGGCAAATTGCCTCACCTCTCTGAGCTTAATGCTGTCCTCTGAGAAAGGGGACTCAGGGGCCCCCTGCCCACATACCACAGGGACCGAGGAGGTGGATCCAGTGAGCACTTTGCTCTGTTGACAATTCACTTGAAAGTACTGTGTTACAAGTCCAGGCTGGGGCTCAGGTTATAACTAAAGTGGACTATAGAGCACTTTGTTTGTGGTTCTGGTTTCAACCCCAATAAATAAAATTCTAAAAAAAGAAATGAAGCTAGGTGCTGGTGGCTTCTACATATAGTTCTAGCTACTTAGGAGGCTGAGATCTGAGAACTGTGGTTCAAAGCCAGCCTAGGCAAGAGTCTGTGAGACTCTTATCTCCAATAAACTACCCCCCAAAAAATCCAGAACTGGAGCTCTAGCTCAAGTGGTAGAGTGCTGGTCTTAAGCAAAAGAAGCTTAGGGACAGAACCCAGGCCCTGAGTTCAAGCCCTAGAAATGGCACCAAAATAAATAAAATAAATAAATAAATAAAGCCCGGCATAAATGCCAGCACCTGGAAGCGTAGGTCTTTGATTCTATTAAGACAGTTCCCCCAAAGAGGTGTGAGAAACCACTAGCACAACACAATTACCCCTGTGGAACTAGAGCATGAGGAGGAAGCAGAGCGGCCTTCAATCTGCTTTGTTCTCTGGCAGTTGCTCTGGGCTCGGGCTCAGTTCCTGCTCTCCGCTCCAAGGCTTCCCCAGGCACCTGCCCCTGGGTCAAGGAGCCCCTGCCACCTGCCTGACAGGTCTCTCTAAGCCTCAGTTTCCTCAATGAGACTTGCCCTCCTGGTCAGGGCTGTTGTCAGATATGAGGGGGCAAGAACAGGACAGGGATCCTCCCTCACAGCTGCCTCCCTCCCACTGCAGCCTGACCTGGCCCAGATGGCCTGGGCCTCTGGAGTTCCTGGCACTGGCTCTTTGCACCCGACAGCCCTCAGTGGATGGTGTCACCCACACAGAGGAATAGGGCTGTGCTGCAGTCAGGCCCAGGGCTTGGGACCATGCTGGGCTCCTGATGGCACCAGCAGCCCTTCCTCTCTACCTAGGATGCTTATCATTTCCAGCCGTGATCTGCAGAAGCAGATTCTAGGAAAAGGGTGGCAGCCTCGGGCCCCAGCCTGAGGTCCAGGCAACTTTGGGATGACAGCCACCTTGGTGGCCATGTTGGAAGCCTCTGTCTGAGGTAGAGACGTCATCTGCTGCTGCTTTAGACAGTTCTCCTTGAGCCCCCTAACCTGCTCCATCTGTGGAGATGGGACAGTCTCTGAGAGGAGCACGTGCATGGCTTGGTGAAGGTACCCTGATTGTTTTCAGGGTACCTGCTCTTCCGAGACTTCTGCCTGAACCATCTTGAAGAGGCCAAGCCCCTGGTAGAGTTCTACGAGGAGGTGAGGTGGACGGGCTGCGGGGAAGGGGAGGGGCTGGGCCTCGGCCTCGGCCTCGGCGCCGCTTGCCCTGCTGGATGCAGACCATCTATGGGTCCTACTTTCCAGATCAAGAAATATGAGAAGCTGGAGACGGAGGAGGAGCGTGTGGCTCGCAGCCGGGAGATCTTCGACTCCTACATCATGAAGGAGCTGCTGGCCTGCTCGCACGTGAGTGTCAGGCCAGATCCTCCTCAGGCCACCAAGGGACTGGCTCCAAGTGACAGGGTTAGAAGGGAAGAAAGGGCCCTGTTGAGGATTCATGGCCCCCTCTGTCCTTCCCAGCCCTTCTCAAAGAGTGCCACGGAGCATGTCCAGGGCCACCTGATGAAGAAGCAGGTGCCTCCGGATCTCTTCCAGGTATATGCTGGACTCATTTCCTCTGGGCCCCACACTGCCTTGGACTGTCCAAGGACAGAAGCCTGGGAAGCTGGGGATGGAGCCTGGGCCAATGGTCTGAGGGGCTCAGTCACCAACTTCCAGTTTCCTCCGTAGCCCTACATTGAGGAGATTTGTCAGAACCTCCGAGGGGATGTGTTCCAGAAGTTCATTGAGAGGTAAGTGAGGCTTGGCATCGTAGAAAGGACAGAAGCCGCCTGTCTAGGCTGAGTGGGGCAGGTCCCGTGCTCTTCCACGCTCAGCGGCTGGGGCTTTCTTCCTGCTCCCACCTTTGCACCAGGCTGCTCAAAGCCAATCCCCGGACAGCCTCAGTCTTTCTCTCCCACAGACCATCTAATACCTTGGCAGGGCGTAACCCCCCCCCCACCTCGCCCCCACCTGGGCTGAAGAACATCAGGGCAGAGGCAGGTCTGGGCGTGAGAGGACATACTGCTCCTCCTGGCTTGCACAACCAGTGTGAACAGACTGTAGGCAGATCTAGGAAATGACTTTTTGTTGTTGTTCATCCTGCAACTTGAACTCAGGGCCTGGAACTGTCCCTGAGCTTACTTGCTGAAGGTGAGCACTCTTACCACTTTGAGCTACTTCTGGTTTTCTGGTAAATTGTAGTCTCATGGATTTTCCTGCCTGGGTTGATCTCAGCCTTCTGAGTAGCTAGGATTACAGACGTGAGCCACCGGTGCCTGGCCAAAGTAATTTTTTTTTTAGGGGGCTAGCTGCCCAGCCATGAAGTGGATGGCTTCCCAGGGACTGAGCTCTATGTGGTTGGAGGTGTAGCAACAGCTCAGCAATGAGACATGGTGGAGGATGGAGTAGCAGGAAGTCATGGTGGACTGGAGACCTCTCTGAGCTTCTCTGATCCCGGCAGGACTCCATGGCTCAGTGGCCAAGGCCAGGGCGAGCCAAGCCACAGAGGCCCAGAGAGTTTCCATACCCACTTTCCCAGGATCTCAGGGAAGGGCAGAGGGTAGATAGGTTCACGCTGGCCTTGTTCTGTCCACTCTGAGGCCCGCCTGAACCTGGTCCTCATCTCTTTCAGTGACAAGTTCACACGGTTCTGCCAGTGGAAGAATGTAGAACTCAACATCCATGTGAGTGGTCTGGGGGCACTGAATTGACTGGGGAGCCGGGGGGCTGTGGGGTGGGGAACTGGGGTGATTCAGGGCTCTAGGGAGCTGGGGAAGCCAGGCCTGGGACAGTGGGAGTCGATCAGAGCTCTGTCTTTAGCACCACAGTGGTGGCTCTGGGGTCAGTGCCAGGATTGTAGTGGGAGGCAGCTTCACAGGTAGAAGACCCTGGCACAGGGTCTGCCCCTGCTGCTCAGGTGCTTCTGCCCTGGAGGTGGGCCCAGGCACCCTGCCGTGACCCCAGCTCTTGCCACCCTGCAGCTGACCATGAACGACTTCAGTGTGCATCGTATCATCGGGCGCGGGGGCTTCGGCGAGGTCTACGGGTGCCGGAAAGCAGACACCGGCAAGATGTGAGATCCCGCCTGGCTGGCATGGGGTGGGACAGCCGAGGGAGGGGTCAGGCTTCTAGATCCTAGAGGGCCCTGTGCAAAACCGCTGTGCAGTGCCCCCTTGCCCCAGGCTCTGTCCAGGGGTCATACCTTGTTCTCTCCCTCTTCCTGTGGGTTCCTTGGAAACCCCTACCTGCCAGCACCCTCTGCCCTCTCGGAACCCCTGGTTTATGTCACGTATGTGTCCTGCATCTAGTCTTCCCCACAAGTCCCCTGAGGCAGCTTGGAGCTCTGCCTGGCATGGGGGATGGACTGTAGCTGATCCCCCTCTCCCCCCAACAGGTACGCCATGAAGTGTCTGGACAAGAAGCGCATAAAGATGAAGCAGGGAGAGACCCTGGCCCTGAACGAGCGCATAATGCTTTCCCTCGTCAGCACTGGGGTGAGCCGGGCAGCCAGGTGGGCCCCCAGAGCAGCCTTTGGCGAGGGGCCCTGGCAGCGTCTCTAACCACCCACTCCCCCCAGGACTGCCCCTTCATCGTCTGCATGTCATACGCATTCCACACGCCAGACAAGCTCAGCTTCATCCTGGACCTCATGAACGGTGAGTGCGGTTGTCCGCCCCCGGTGAGCTTTGGCCTAGACCGGAGCCCGAAGCTGAGTGCCTCCCCCGGCTGCCCCCTCCAGGCGGGGACCTGCATTACCACCTCTCCCAGCACGGGGTCTTCTCGGAGGCCGACATGCGCTTCTACGCCGCCGAGATCATCCTGGGTCTAGAACACATGCACAACCGCTTTGTCGTCTACAGGGACCTAAAGGTAAAGGCCCCCAGTCTTCCGCACACTTGTCACCCTCCCCTCTGCCTCCTCACCCTTCCTCTGAGCCACTTTCTGGGTTCAGGCTGTGATTGGGCAAAGGGAGGAAGAGTCCACCTGCGGCCTGGTCCTTGGGCACCCATAGTTCTGTCCATGAAAGCACTTCACTGGCCTCCTGCCTGTGGCAGGGCGGGTATAGCTCACTGGTTTCCTCCACAGCCCGCCAATATCCTTCTGGACGAGCATGGCCACGTGCGCATCTCAGATCTGGGCCTGGCCTGTGACTTCTCCAAGAAGAAACCTCATGCCAGCGTGTGAGTGCCCCCCCATCCCTGCCCTTCCCGCGTGCCTTCCCCACACCCACTCACAGCCTCTGCTCCCACAGGGGCACCCATGGGTACATGGCTCCTGAAGTCCTGCAGAAGGGCGTGGCCTATGACAGCAGCGCGGACTGGTTCTCCCTGGGCTGCATGCTCTTCAAGTTGCTGCGGGGGTGAGTGGGCCTTGCTCTGGGGGACCAGATCAAGAGTCCCTCTTCTCCAAGCTGGGGAGGAAGCCCAGGAGAGGAGCCTTTGGCTGCCTGGGCCTATACAAGTAGCACCACCCCTCCTTTGGGACAAAACTCATTCATGCTTTCTACCTCAGTTTCTCCATTCTTGTTCTTTGATCTTCGTGTTTGGGCCTTTCTTACCTAGGCACAGCCCCTTCCGGCAGCACAAGACCAAAGACAAGCACGAGATTGATCGAATGACGTTGACGATGGTGAGCGTAAGGGTCTCAGTACTGGGCCCAAGCGGGGCTGGGATCTGCAGAGGGTGCGAGGGTCGTGGAGTTTTAGTTCTCATCAACCAGCAGAGCTCTCTAGCCATTAATCTCCTTTTGTGCCCTGTGGTGCAGACGTCTTGTCCCTTACAGTGTTGCCTAAGCTCCCACTTGCTGGGGCCAGTCGAGAAGCCTGCGCCTCTCCCTAGTGGGCCAGCGCTTCTGCCTTGCCTCTGCCAACCTGCTTCTCCTCCCTGCAGGCCGTGGAGCTGCCTGACTCCTTCTCCCCAGAACTCCGCTCCCTGCTGGAGGGCTTGCTGCAGAGGGACGTCAACCGGAGGCTGGGCTGCCTGGGCCGTGGGTGAGTGCCCTGGCCAGCCTGTCCAGGGCCTCTGGCTGGGCCCCATCATCCAGAGGCCCCTCCCTATTTTGGAGAGCTGCAAGCGGGGTCACAGCCGGCCTTGTCTGGTGACCTCAGGTGGCAAGACTGACTGAGTACAGAGCTGCTGGAGCTGGCTGGGACTGGCTTCCAGAGGCCCCTGTAACAAAGATGAACCAAGACGAGGACAACCCGAAGAGCAGTGTTTCATGTTTGTGGATAGCTGCCAAGTGCAGGGCAAGGTGCTGCAAGATTACCAGTGTTAGAACTCGACAGCTCTGTGGTGTGGCAGCTGCTGGGCTCAATGTTTAGGGCTTGCCCAGCATCACACCGCCAGAATGGCGGAGCCAGGAGTTAATCCTAGGCCCCACGGCCTGACCTTAGCCTGACTCGGGTGCTGCAGAGCCCTCCTAGCTAATGGGCATCTCCCCACAGGGCTCAGGAGGTCAAGGAGAGCCCCTTCTTCCGCTCGCTGGACTGGCAGATGGTCTTCTTGCAGAAGGTAAGGGTCAGTGTGGGGCTGGGAGGGGCGCCTGCAGCCCCCCACCGTGCTGACACCTGACCTGCTCTGTGCAGTACCCACCCCCTCTCATCCCCCCACGGGGGGAGGTGAACGCTGCCGATGCCTTCGACATTGGCTCCTTTGATGAGGAAGATACAAAAGGAATCAAGGTACTGCCCCTTGCCTGACCGCATGGAGCCCTGGGCCCAGCTTGGGTGGGTTCTTGTCCCTCCTCTGCCCCTGTGACACTCCATGCCAGCCCATGCCACGGGCACTGCTTCTCTCCCCAAACCTCCCTGGGGTTGGCAGTTGGGCCAGACCTTCCCTGCTCCAGGGCCCCGGGCAGTCCCATGGCTGATGATATTCTGGCACCTCTGTCCGTCCACATGTGTCTGCCCTGTCCACCTCACAAAGTTACTAGACAGCGACCAGGAGCTGTACCGAAACTTCCCTCTCACCATCTCCGAGCGGTGGCAGCAAGAGGTAGCTGAGACCGTCTTCGACACCATCAATGCTGAGACGGATCGGCTAGAGGCCCGCAAAAAAGCCAAAAACAAGCAGCTGGGTCACGAGGAAGGTGAGGCTCTGACTTGAGAAGCAGCAGGTATACTGTGCGCTGCAGAAATGAGGAGCAGGCCGGGGTCTGCTAATACTCAGCTCACCTGAGTATTAGCCAGCAAAGGCTGCAGGGCTGAGCCTGGTGTTGGCTCTCATGGCAGACTACGCCCTGGGCAAGGACTGCATCATGCACGGCTACATGTCCAAGATGGGCAACCCCTTCCTGACCCAGTGGCAGCGGCGGTACTTCTACCTGTTCCCCAACCGGCTTGAGTGGCGGGGAGAAGGCGAGGCCCCGGTAAGGACTAGTGCCAGGGCTGGGTGCTGGCCTGGGGTGTCCGCTGACCTGCCCTCACACCCTGCCCCGCCCTGCAGCAGAGCCTGCTGACCATGGAGGAGATCCAGTCAGTGGAGGAGACACAGATCAAGGAGCGCAAGTGCCTCCTGCTCAAGATCCGCGGGGGCAAGCAGTTTGTTCTGCAGTGTGATGTGAGTGGGGGTCCTGGGTGCAGACGTGGGTGTGGGCCGGTGGGCACTGCCCGAGCTGACAGAGTCTGAGTGAATGCAGAGCGACCCCGAGCTGGTGCAGTGGAAGAAGGAGCTGCGCGACGCCTACCGCGAGGCCCAGCAGCTGGTGCAGCGGGTGCCCAAGATGAAGAACAAGCCACGCTCGCCCGTGGTGGAGCTGAGCAAGGTGCCACTGATCCAGCGTGGCAGTGCCAACGGCCTCTGACCTGCCCGCCCGCCTGCCACCTGCCCGCCTTTTGTAAACCTCTAATTTATTTTGTCGAATTTTTATTATTTGTTTTCCCGCAAAGCGGAAAAGGTTTTATTTTGTAGTTATTGTGATTTCCTGTGGCCCCAGCCTGGCCCAGCCCCCAGGGAGGGGCCTGCTTGCCTCGGCTCCTGCTGCCACCAACTCAGCCACTGTCCAGTGCCCTTTGCCCCGACTCCTGGGCTGCCCAATCCCAGTGTCTTCCTGTTGGGGAGAGCAGCAGCCCCCCAGCAGCCCCCCTGCCCTTCCCTGGGGCGAAGCCACATGGAGCTGTGCCACTTACTCTCCGGGCTGGGCTCTGCCAGTGGCCTGGCCAAGTGGCCTAGCATTCCCCATCCCAGGGGAGGGCACAGCATAGGGATGCTACTTGAACTTTCCCACCATAGCTCCTCCTGTGACAGGGACAGAGCCCCACCTGTCCTGCGCTTTGGCGCCTGGTGAGGAGAGAGCCCTTGCCTCTCTGGCCCCTGAAGCCTTCTGTAGTGACTGGGGTTCCTGGGCCGTTGTTCAGACTAAGTCCCTGTGTCACTGCTGCTCCCATCCCCTCTTCCCCGGACCCTGTGGGGCTTGGCAGCCCCCTCATCCTCTCAGTGAGTGCCCAGGGTTAAGGAGCACAGAAAGGCATCTGAGGTTTGGGCTCGCACAGCCTAGCCTGGCTCCTGGGTCTTCGCAACCCTGGGCTGGGTGAGGCTCATATGCCCAGGACCACAGTAGGCCAGCCTGGGCAGGAGGGTGGCACAGCAAGAAGGGGCCTGCTGGGGCCAGCCCTCCTTGCCCCGGCCAGTGTGCCCTCACCCTTGGCTGTCCAGCCCCACAGCCCACGTCCTGTCATGCCACCGCCCATGGCGCCACCTCGCCCACCGCATGCCCCCTCGTGCCAGTCGCGCTGCCGTGTGTGGTGTTGCGCCCTCTCCCTGGGCCGGGTCAGTGCCACCCCCTTGTCTACTCACTCCCGGGGCGTTTCTTTGCCGATTTTTGAATGTGATTTTAAAGAGTGGAAAATGAGAATATGCGTTTTTATAAAAAATGGTGCCTGACCCCTTGCTGTCTCAGACTCTCCTTGTGCCTGGTGACCGTTTCTGCCGGTCCAGCCCTGAGGAAGTCTTGGTGACAACTCATCACTGTGGCCTGGCCTCCAGCGTGGCCTTCTCCTTGCCTCCCCCTGTTCCCAGCTGCCCATGCGCTCTCCTTGTTACCCCTTTTGCTCCCAGGATGAAAGGAAGTCTGGCTACCTTCCAGGTGAGGATACACTTGGGGCTATGTTTGGACTGACCGGGGCCGTCTCTGCCTTGCTGAGCACCCCATGTGTCAGGTGGTATGCTGAATGCCTACTCCACCCCAAAAGGACAGCCCTATACTGGCACCTTTCCTTGATCATCTCTGGCTCTGGTCTCTCTTGCCCCCAGCACCTAAGGGGTACCTAGCATCACACCTCTCAGTCAGCTTCCTTTCCCCATGTCCCTGCCTCCCGGCCCCTGGCTAGACCAGGCTGAGGCCAGAGCACAGCAGAGGGGCCGTGTGCACAGGAGGAAGGCTGTCCTGAGGCACCTGCTGAGGAAGCAGCCTTGAGCTGGGCCTCTAGCATTGAGGTGGGCGTTGGTGCAGATGTTTTCTTAATTCAGGAGGGGTCAGTCACTCATGAGTGGCTCAGGTCAGTGAACCAGGCCTGGGCCCTTGGAAATACCAGATGTAACCTAGTACAGAACCCTGGTATACTTGACTGCAACACGGAACTAAGAACAGACTTGGAGGCAGAACTTGCTGAAGGGTCGGAGCAGGGCTGGGGTCATGCAAGCTGGCTCTAAAACAACTGACTGGTCACTATGCAGAAGGAATAGAGAAAAGCAGAGGACAGGAGACAGTGACCTGGACTTAACTGCTGCTTCTAATTAGGGAAGACATCCTCAGCACAGTGGAATAGATGAAAGAGGCCAGATGGAAGAATATGGCCTAAGAAAGGACCGTATTCCTCTAATGAGGTGGTGGGCATCCAAGATGAGACGTGATGAGGCTGTGATACCATGCAGAGGCAGGACAGCTCACAGGAGAGTTGGCCTGAGAGGAAGAGGGTGTAACTGGACTTGGCTTTGGAAACCTTAATACGACTGTGGGTTGCCTGGGCCCCTATATGTCTCAAAGATGGCACTAAGGTGACAATAGGAACAGACTCTCAGCTGGGGAAAGATCAGGGTGGGAAAGAGGGCTGGCAGGAAACTGTTCAAGGTTGCAGCAATCCAGAGGGTCTGGACCTGAGAAGGTCCTGCTAGATGTGGGTTTAAGAAGGGTTAGGGGAAAGGACAGCATCAGAGCCAGACTTTAGCTCTGAACCTTCCGAAGAAGCTGCTGAGCAGGTGCAGCCCTCCTGGACATTACAGGTGATGGCCTGGTGACGCCAGAGAATGGCCTCATGACACCAGGGCGGCAGTGACCTCAGATGGCTTGGGAGACAACTTCAATGAAAAGTTAGGTAAAAACCGCCCTGACACCCAGGGGAAGAATCCTTCCCAGTTACACTAGTCATTTTACAAACAGGGACACGGGCCTAGCCTTGGCAAGCCTGGCTGCAGCCTTTCCACCAACAAAACCAGGATGGGCCACCCCAGGCCAGGCCTCCGGGACTGGCCTAAGTGACGCTGGCCAAGGCCTTCACTCTAGTTCCGGTGCCGGTGGAGGTGCCCACCATTTCCGAACCTTCCTTTCCTGACACTGGCAGCAGCGCGCAGCCTCTGCAAGAGCGGTCCGAGATCGCCGTGGATGGCGCCTGCAGAGCGCCCGCACCCCAACCCAGTACTGGCCCCCTGGTCCCGGGCCCCGGGGCGCGGCCGCCTCCCTCGCCGGGCCAAGCCGCGGAGTGGTGGCTGCCTGGGAGGGAGGGACCGGCGCTAAGGTGCCTGCATTTAAGGGTTCCATCTCCAGAGCGCCCGGGGCGCTGCCTGGCAGCGAGGGACCGGAACTTCCCGCCTCACACGCACACGAGCTAGCCGGTGCTCCCGGGACTGGGAGTAGGGAGCGGGCGGGGTCTACCGGGGAAACGCGGCGACCCCCAGCTCGGAGAGCCTGGCCACCCGCCGCGCGCGCAGGCGCACACGCGAGCATCAGCTCAGGCCCCCGCCCCGCCCCGGGCCCCGCCCTCCACTTCCGGGCCTGCGGGAAGGGGGTCTGCGCAGAGCCTGGGGCGCCCCCTGCAGGTAGGGCGGAGCTGCGGCCAGGCCCCGCCCCTGGAACGCCCACCGCAGACCCGAGAGGGCCCGCGAGGCCCAGCTTGAGACCCCCGCCTGCTTTTCTCCGGGGCGCTCGTAGTTGCCCTAACGACAGGGGAGCGTGCCTCGCTCACCCCCGGAGCGCGGGCCGGGGTTGTGGTTACCCTGGCTGCGGGGGGAGAGGCGGCGCGCGGCCCGATGCCCCGCCCCGTCCGGGCGCGGCCCCGCCCACCCGGGGCCGGCCCCGCCCTCCCTGCCGCCCGCGCCCTCGCTGTCGCCGCTGCCGCCGCGGGGCTCGCGGAGCCGCGGTGGGTGCCGCCGGGGCGCGGCTCGGAGCCGAGGCGAGCGGACAGCGCCTGGCATAAGCCGAGAGGAGCTGGGCCGCCCCTGCCGCGCCCACCAGCCCGCCCGGGATGCGGCACTGAGGCCCAGCATGGCCGGCCCGGGCCCCACCTTCCGGCTGCACCGGCTCGTCTGGGCGAACCGGCACCGCGAACTGGAGGCCGCGCTGCACAGCGGTCAGGTGAGGCCCCCTCCCGGCCAGTCCGCCTGGCCCCCTCCCGAGCGCAGCGTGCAAGCTGAAGGCCTGTGCCTGCCCTGCCCCGAGCTGCACCCACGCCCGGCCCCGGCCCCGGCCCCGGACCGGGTCACCTGCACTCACGCTCCATCCTTTGGCCGCTTCTCCAGCGCCGGGCCTTGTCCTGCGGTTTGCCCACCTCCTACTGCATCATCCCCTGAACTCTCCCGTGTCACCTCTGAGTCAAGCAGAGAAAGGAACCCCGCTGAACTCTTCCCATCCCTCGCCTGCATCTGTCTAGCCAGAGCCCTCCATCAGGCCTGCAGGTCTGCTGGAACCGAGAGCAGGAGAGATGGGGCAAGCCCTTCCCACAGCTTCCCTCCCCACCAGTCCCCTGCCCTCCCCAGTGCCCCTTCTCCACCAGGACACACAAGCCACCTTCTGCCATCTCCCTGGCCTGGCTGCCGCCCTTATATCCCAAAGTGACTCGGGCTGGGTTCAACCTTCTTGCCTTGGCCTCTCTTGCCCCCAGCTGTGCCCTATCTCCATCTCCCTTAGCACGACATAGAACAGGAAGATCCCCGGGGGCGCACTCCCCTGGAGCTGGCTGTATCACTGGGGAATCTGGAATCTGTCAGAGTCCTCCTTCGACATAATGCCAATGTGGGCAGAGAGAGCCGCCAGGGCTGGGCAGGTACTGCACTGGGCTTTCCTTATGGCCAGCGGTGGGGTTGGTGGGTGGGAGGGAGTGACCAGGGGCCAGTGGGAAGGCTTTCCTCAGCAATAAGGTATCCCTTAGTCCTGCAAGAGGCAGTCAGCACCGGAGACCCAGAGATGGTACAGTTGGTGCTCCAGTATCGGGATTTCCAGAGGGCTACACAGAGGCTGGCTGGCATTCCCGAATTGCTCAACAAACTCCGCCAGGTAAGGGCAGGGCCCAGGAGATGGTTAGTTAAGTGTGTGATGGTGGGGTTTTGTCAGGGGCCATCTTGGTCACCTGTGCCAAGCCTGGCTTAGAAGATCACCCAGCCCATGCAGTGTTGCTGTGTGGACCCCCACCTTACGGTCATGAGAGAAGAAAAGGATCCCAGGCCATGTGGATGAGATTGGAAGCAAAGTTTTCACTGGCGTGGAGGGCCCTGGCACTAGATGTCTCTATAGAACTTTAGACTTGGGCCTTCCTTGAGAATTAGATTTCTCCAGGGAAGGGCAGCTGGGTGGAGATGGCTTGGGCCACTGTTTTTCCTGGTTCTGTGTGTAGTCTGCCCTTCTGCATGCTGCAGAGGGTTAGCAGGGCAGGCCTGGAGGTCCTAGGGCCACTCAATATGCTTGTGGATGGAGGTAGACAAGGAGCCACCAGGCCCTCTTGCCTCCCGCCCAGGCTGGGCCTGATGGATAGCTTTCATTTCTCTCAGGCCCCTGATTTCTACGTGGAGATGAAGTGGGAGTTCACCAGCTGGGGTGAGTGGGGACCACTTGTGGCCCTCCCCCTCCCCAGGGACTTGGAGTGGGGCCTTCGGGGAAGACCCCAGTGACCTCAGGACTCCCTGCAGTGCCACTTGTGTCCAAAATGTGCCCAAGTGATGTGTACCGCGTGTGGAAGCGGGGTGAGAGCCTGCGGGTGGACACGAGTCTCCTGGGTTTTGAGCACATGACCTGGCAGCGTGGCCGGAGGAGCTTCATCTTCAAGGGCCAGGGTGAGCTCAGGGGCACTTGCTGCAGGCATTGGGATGTCTAGCACCCTCGAATGCTTCAGTGGCTTTCTCTGCACTATGCACATGGAGAAAAGCTGAGAGTAGCTGGTGCTAGTGGCTCACACCTATAATCCTAGCTACTCAGGAGGCTGACAGCTGAGGATCACAGTTCAAATCCAGCCCAGGCAGGAAAGGCCAATTAACCACCAGAAAACAGGAAGTAAAACTGTGGCTCAAAGTGCTAGAGTGCTAGCCTTGAGCTAAAAAGCTCTGGGACAGCATCCACGCCCTGAGTTCAGGCTGAGGGTGGAGGGGAATCCCGGGGCTGAGACTGTAGCCACTCAGCAGCAGGTAGCCTGCTGGTAGAGTCAATACTGATCTGTGTCCCCTCTCTACCCTCCTTTGCTGGCAGAGGAAGGAGCCCTGGTGATGGAAGTGGACCATGACCGACAGGTGGTGCACACAGAGACCTTAGGGATGGCTCTGCATGAGCCCGAAACACTGCTGGCCGCCATGCGGCCCAGCGAGGAGCACGTGGCCAGTCGCCTCACCTCCCCTATCGTCTCCACCCACCTGGATACGCGCAATGTGGCCTTTGAGAGGTCAGTTGGGCCCTGGCAGGCCCGGGG